ATAAACACCATTTTCTACATTTTCCTTTTATCAAGTGTAATTATGAAGCACATAACATACAGAACAGAGTGGCACTAGGTTTCATTAGAGATAATTGGTACTATAACATCCTCTCTGAAGTGAAAATTAGCCTCTAGAGTGTTAAGAGGCAGCTCAAACCTGATTTTAAAAGATATGAAGCTATCAGTTTTTTGTACACCCTTATAAACTAAAATATGTAACTCAAGCCTACATTTTGTTATATGGCCAGTATACAGCACCATCGTGTGGCCCAAGACATAACTCTTTCATGCTGTAGTTCAATTAAATACATATCATAGTTCAGGGGCAAGATTATATATAGTTCAGTCTTTTGTAAGACATTCTGCATATTTATCAACTTTGCAGATATTCTTACTGCTGTCATGTAAAACAGTGATAATTTTAAAAATACGTTTTAAAATGTCCCAAATTGTCCACACTCTCTCCAAAAATGAAAGCTTGTTTAATCATTTAGAAGAAACTATATAAATCTGTTAGCTATGTGTTATTTGGCTTGGGTTAGATGAATTTCAAAATGAAATTATCAAATGTAACATTCTCAGTAATGAAAAGATAAATATGTTTGCCAAGTTCCAATGTGTTATTTCTGTCTCTGGCACACCCAATTCTTAATCACTGCCAGAATTGAGTGAGAATTAATAAGAGGATTTAATGAAAGGCTCTCATTATCACATTATGAAATAATCTACTTTGGTCATATTTAATTTAATTTTTTAGGTACAAATAGATAAACCAAAGAAAAGCTTTAGGTAAAAATTAAAGAACAAAAGCATTCATCAAATATGACACTTGATATAACAAATGAAATCTGACCACCCCATTGTCACTACAACCTTATACAATCATGGGAGGTCCTAAAATAAATTCAATTATATAAAATAGCTAATAAAAGTTCCAATCCAAAATTGTGGCATATCAATGGCCTAGAACAAAAGACAATGAGAATGAGAAAGGACCCTAGGTGTCACCTACATCTCCCCTGCTCAGTGTATAAATTCCTTCTTCAATATCCTGCATTACAGGTGATCATCCTTCCTCTCCTTGAACACTCTCAGCAATAATGTATTCGCTACCTCATAAGGCAGGCCCATTCTATTGTTTGGACTTCTCCAGTTGTCAGAACATTCTTATGCTAAAAACCAAAATTGTCTCCCTGCATCTTTCATCTACGAGCCCCAGTTTTGTCTGGACAAACAAATCTAATGCCTCTTCAAGAGTATAGTTAAATTAGGGCAGCTAGGTGGTACAGTAGATAGAGTGCCAGCCCTGGTTTCAGGAGGACCTGAGTTCAAATCCAGCCTCAGAGATATAACACTTACTAGCTCTGTGACCCTGGGCAAGTCACTTAACCCCATTGCCTACCCCCCCCCAAAAAAAAGAGTGTAGTTAGATGACTATTTTGCTATAAATCAGTGGTCTGTCTTGAAAATTTTAATCATACACTCCATAAGTAAATTTTTTTACTCAATATATTATATTTACTTCTTAACAAAAACCACAATGCACTAATAATTATGTACATTATAAGACTTATACAAAAAGGAAAATTGAAAAAGTATGAGATAAAGATAAAAAATTATCTAATGTTAAAGTCAATAGGGGGCCATTACAGCTTACTGGTTTGGGAACCATCATGATTAGACCTGAACTTTTGGAAAAACAACTCAGAAAGCTGTGAGGAGGATAAGGTAGAGAAAGGAAAGATTTGAGGCAAGGAAACCTATTAAGAGATCATTGCAATAGTTCTGATGAAAGATGACCAGGGTTTAAACTGGGGTAGGGGCTATCTAAGCAGGAAGAAGGAGACAGATGCAAATTTGATGTACAGGTAGAAATAACTGGCCACTAAATGGCTAGAAGATAGAAAGTGGAAAATCAAGGATAACGCCAAGGTTCCAAACCTGGGTGGTTAGAAGGATGGTGTTGTCCTTGACAGAAATAAGAAAGTTTAAAGGATATATATGTTGGGGAGAATAATATGATCTCAACCTATTCATATCTGTTCATCCTGTGCTATTCATTCTTTCCCACTGAAAGATAAGATTGTCAGGGCGGTGGGGGGGGGGGAGAACGACAGTAGGGGACGGACAATGGGTATTTAGGGGATGGAGATTTGTGCCTTCACAGTTGCCACAGGTAACTGGGTAGGATTAGGTTATAACCATCTTGAGGGGCCCACACTGAAGTAACCACATAGGAGGCTTATGGTGAGAGGGGGCAGAGTAGGGTAGCACTGAAGAAGGTGATGTCATTGTTTTATATATAATCCAATCCAAATTCAATCCAATATAATCCTCATACCTGGATATAACTGTGGGTAGGAAATAAAACATTATCCTACTTTCCAACTGGTTGATCACAGACCACTTGGAGTGGACTCACCTTGACTCATTGAGATCACTCTGTGGCCTCCACTTTTGAAATCATTGCTAATAGGAGGTATTTATATACTAGATAAGGTGTAAGACCAGAGCATCTTTAAAGTTCCTTCTAACCCTAAGATTCTATTTTTCTATGACTTTTTGACCTAGTAAACAAATCTACTTTCTATCTATGGCTTATCTTTCTATCTGTGGCTTACTAATTCCTAACTCTGCTTTCAGTTATCATTCCCTTCATTCAGAATGTTCTCATCTACCCTCTTCACTGCTCTATGTCCCTGTGTTCCTTCAAAATCTAGCTTTAAAATTTCTTCCTTCCAGAAAGACTTTCTGGACTAACCTTATACAATTCAAATCACTTATTTTACACAATGTCCCCTAAGCACTTGGTAGTTGCCATAATCACATAAGTATGCCTTTAAAGTAGAATAGTAGGAAGGTAACAGCTATTGCCAACAGCCCTAACAAGAGTATCAGACTATCTAATTCTGAGACTGCCTACAGACAGCAGTTAATAGTATAGACCTTTGGCCTACTGTTGTTATTTAATCTTATCCCTATATTATTGCTATAAAGTTAATGATACTGAAAGGCTATTTAAGGAGGCCAATCTATACCCCTATTTAATCATTCACAGGAGGACTAAACCTTTCTTCTCTATTATTAATCAGTCAATCAGAGGTATAAACTAAGTGTGAACAAGACCTAGTCATTACCACTGACTCAATCAGTCAAAAGCTTTCCAACTAGATACAACAGGAAATGTAATGAGAAAAGTCTTATCTTGTGTTGCCTAAATAAAAATTAGCTAGTTTGGAACTCAAGCATTCCAGTATCTGCCCAGAATAGAGGGAAAAAAGTAGTTCCAGGTAAGCCCCCAAAAAGGGAATGGCTTTGAAAGAAGTCTTTACCCCAACTCCTGTAAAAAGGTCTGAAAGATTTTAATTTCTCATTAGGGTTCTATCAGTGTCCCCAGAACAGCAATGATGGCATTAGCATCTCCACTTTGAAGCAAGGACAAAGTCATACAGAAAAGGCCAATGAACAAGAACTATAGAAGTAAACTATACCATACCATACCATATACAAAGTGTTCAACACTTTGAGGACTCCAGCTAAAAGATTTCCAGGGGCTACAAGTTGACACATATGCTTGAAGTTTTAGCTCTCTTTCCCCTGGATTCTGTATGTTCTTGTGGGAGACTGCATCACAGACTTTTCAGTGAATATTTTATACCCACTGCTCTTCATTTATCACATTAGGATATACTGCTTTCTGAAAGCTAATTAAGTCTGTTTGACTAATTGACATCAACTGATAATCATTGAGGGAAGCACAACAGTGGCTATATGAACAAAAATATTTATAGCAGCTCTTTCTGTGGTGGCAAAGAATTGGAAATTGAGGGTATACCCATCAATTGAGGAACAGACAAAAATGTTGTGATATATGATTGTGATGGAGGACTATTGTGCTATAAGAAATGACAAGTAGGATGGCTTCAGCAAACATGGGAAGACACATGAACTGAGGCAAAGTGGAGTAAAGTAGAACCAGGAGATCATTGTCCACTATAATAGCAATATTGTGGTGATAGTCAACTGTGAAAGACTTAGCCACTCTGATCAATACAGTAATCCAAGACAACTCCAAAGGACTCATGATGAAAAATGCTATGCTCCTCCACAGAGAGAACTGATACACTCTGAGTGCAAACTGAAATATAATTTTCTCACTTTTTAAATTTTTTTGCTTTATTTGCCACATGTCTAGTATAGAAATATGTTTTGTATGATTTCATATGTATAATTGATATAACTGATATTATATTGCTTTCCTTCTATGTGGGTGAGGAGGAGGTGGGAGGGAAGGAGAGAAGTTGGAACTCAAAATAGAAAAAAAGAATGTTAAAAACAAAAAAAAATAATAAATTTGTGAAAGTAATAAAATAATTGTCTCTTAATTAACTCATTATAATTAATATTAATAAATTCTAACGGTTCCCTACTGCTTCTAGGATCAAAGCAGTTTTCTAAAAAAAACCCTTACAACCTTGTTCCAACCTGCCTTTCCACCTTTATTATACATTACTATCCTTCTCACATGCTACAGTATAGCCAAGGTGGACTTCTTGCCATTCCTCCAGTGTACATATAAAACTGGCTACACCATAAACTGAAGAGTAGTGAAGAGTGAGATTTGCCCATATACCAAAGAACTCTTGCTACTAGTACCTTTCTAGACATAAAGGTAGCAGGGCAGCTAGGTGGTACAGTCGATAGAGCACTGGCCCTGGGTTCAGGAGGACCTGAGTTCAAATCCGGCCTCAGACACATAACACTTACTAGCTGTGTGACCCTGGGTAAGTCACTTAACCCCTACTGCCCAACCAAAAAAATAAAATAAAATAAAATTTAGACATAAAGGTAGAATAAAGAATAGCATTTACTGTGTATTTAGGTTTTATTTTTCTTGACTGAGGACACTCTATTGGAAATGAACAAATGCATTTCTAGACAAAGTTCCCAATGTCTGAGAGAAGAATAATGATATTTATTTTTTAAAAACTAACTTACAGGTTTCCTGGCTGAAAGTCTGCCACTCACAGTTCCAGTCTGATTCCATGTTGATGCAACAAACCCCTTTAACAATAAAAAGAGTCACTTTAAGATCAGTATAAATAGTTAAAAACCTGTCTAACCATGTTATCCACTTAATTCACTAGAAGATACTAGATGTGACCTTTTATGGACTCAAAAGAACTTCTGGGCCTAAATTCCCCCCTTTGCAATTTCTTTGGGAATTATTCAGTCTCTAAAGCAAGGTCCATCTATGGGGAGAGAGGGGACAATGTTCCATCACCAAATAAGTCCTTATTGTAAGTATGTAGGGTCAACTGAAGCACGGAGTTCTAGGAGGTAATAACTACTTGAACATATTACAATGAATCCTAAAGTTGTTGGTAATATGTAAAACACAGATTGCATATTAACAATGTCATGGTTTAAGTTTTGGAGAAATACTAAGCTCTCTTCATATATCCCTTTAAAACCTCATAACTTCAGCACTTCTTAAAGTGCCTACCATGTTTAAGGCACATAAAACCTTATCTGTTTGTATATAAAACACACTGCCAATCTCAATACTCATTTCTTCATCATGAAATTCTCAATCTAGTTACCTTTCAGCTTCTACATTAAGGGACAGGAGGGCTTGGAATATAATATTCCAGAGGGCAAAGGAGAAAGGATTACACCCAAGAATCACCTACCCAGCAAAACTGAATATAATCCTTTAGGGGGAAAAATGGATATTCAGTGAAATAGAGGACTTTCAAGTATTCTTGATGGAAAGACCAGCGTTGAATAGAAAATTTGACTTTCAAATACAAGATTCAAGTGAAACATGAAGAGGTAAACAGGAAAGAGAAATCATAAGGGACTTATTAAGGTTGAACTGTTTACATTCCTGCGTGGAATATTTGTAACTCATGAGACCTTTGTCAGTATTACGGTAGTTGGAGGGAAAAAATTATATGTATGTGTATATACAGATAGATAGATAAATAGAGGGCACAGGGTGAGTTGAAGATGAAGGGATGATATCTGGAGAATAAAATTAAGGGGTGAGAGAGGATTATACTGGGAGAAGGAGAAACGGAGAGGTAGAATGGTGTAAATTATCTCACATAAAACAGACAAGAAAAGGCTTTTACAGTGGAGGGGAAACGGAAAGGTGAGAGGGAATGAGTGAATCTTATTCTCATCAGATTTGGCTTAAGGAGGGAATAACATACACACTCAATTGGGTATGGAAATCTATCTTACCCTACAGGAAAATGGGGGGTGGGGTGGGGGAGACAAGACAGCAGGGAGATGATAGAGGGGAGGGCAGATTGCAGGAGGGGATAATCAGAAGCAAACAATTCTAAAGAGGGATAGGGTCAAAAGAGAGAATAGAATAAATGGGGGGGCAGAATAGGAGTAAGGGAAATATACTTAGTTTTTCACAACATGACCACTATGGAAGTGTTTTATATGACTACACATGTATAACCTGTATCAAGTTGCTTGCCTTTTCAATGAGGATAGGTGGGGCGGGAGGAAGGGAGAAAATGTGGAACCCAAAGTTTTAAAAACAAATGTTAAAAACAAAATCGCTTTCACATGCAACTGGGAAATAAGATATACAGGCAATGGGGTATAGAAATCTATCCTGTCCTACAGGAAAATAGAAGGGAAAGGGGATAAGAGAAGGGGAGGAGAGATAGAAGGGAGAGTATATTAGGGGAAGAGGTATTCAGAATGCATGCCATCTTGGGGTGGGGGGGAGGGACAAGATGGGAAGAAAATTTGGAACTCAAAATCTTGTGGAAGTAAACGTTGAAAACTTAAAATGAATAAAGAAAAAAAATCTAGTTACCTTTCTCATGCATGACAGCAGCCCATCCACAAAGGTTGATTTGACCTTATGAATCTAAGTGATTAAAAAATTAAGAGTGATTTTCTCTTTAATTTAAATAAGAAAAAGTTTCAGAGAAAAACTCACATTTTCAGTAATCAGACTTCCCCTCATTTCAATAAAGAGAAGGAATAAAAATGCACTTTTCAAAAATCACTAATAAATGACACCAAAATGTACTTTTATGTTGCCAAGGATAGCTCATTTAACCAGGGTGAAGGGAATTGGGGCAGTAAATTCCTTAAAGTCTTATGGGCTGGATACTGACAATATTCAGATACCAATTTAAGATCAAAGTACAGAGTGGCTTACAATTCAAGGACCTCTAATTTCACCAGTGTGGATACTCATCATATGGTTATGGATTCTAACACTTAGTATGTCTACCAGCAGCAGCCGCAGCACCAGTAAGTGGGAGGTTTCTGAGAGTTGTGGCTGAAAGTTTTGTAATCATGTAACTAATCTGATGGTAAGTATCTCCAAATTTAGCAGGTCCTTAGACAAGACACTTATAGTCCATCACCGAGAATTTACTGAAAGTCCTTCTTGCTTGGTAGACAGTGTCAGAGCTCGCACTCCACTGTTATCACCTTCAAGAAATCCTGCTAGCATGAAGTGAAGTAGGGCTTAAATGGAGGTACATAGTGACGATAGCTCAGATTCAACAAAATACAATAAAAGTTTTAAGTACTGTGAAAATAAAGTTTGAGTAAACTCTTGAAAGAAGCTCACTGTTTTCCATTTGAATTGTCCGGGGAAGATTCTGAAGACCACCTCGCAGGATAAGATACTGAATGCTAAGGTCATTTCTCAAACTAAACTGCCAAGCATTCAAACTCTACTGCAGAGAACACACTTCCAGTGGGATGGCCACATTATTTGAATGCCAAACGCATGCTTGCCTACAAGACTATTTTAGGGAGAACAACTCACACAAGGCAAGTATTCACATGGTGGTCAGAAGAAGAAATACAAGGACACTCTCAAAGTCTCTCTAAAAAACTGTGAAATCAATTGCATGACATGGGAGATGCTGGCAAAGAAGCACCTAGCGTGGCATACCCACATCAAAGAAGGCATTGTGCTCTATGAGCAAAGCAGAATTGTAGTAGCTCAAAAGAAAGATGCGATGCACAAATTTAAAGAATCCATCCCAAATGTTCACACAGATTATTTGTGCCCAAGCTGCGGCAGAGCATTCCAAGCTTGTCTTGGTCTGATCAGCCACAGTTGGACACAATGTAACTTGACTCTAAACACAGTGGTGTCATTTTGGTCCTCTTCGAACACGAAGGACAACAATCAACAACCACTGTCTAGCAGGGAGACGTAGAAGTCATAGTGAAATAGTCCAAGTCCTCAAAATTTTGCTTCTGAATTTTTTACAAAGAACCAAGAAGCCCTTCAGTTTATTTTACAGATGAGACAACTAAGGCCAACAACATGACATAGTAGAGAGAGTTCTAGACTTGAAGTCATGAATACCTGGGTTCACTTCTTCTCTCTTGGTCTCAGGTTCCTTATAAGGTCACACTGGGCTCCATATCTATTATTCTAGGGGAGAGGGTAGTGACTTAGCCAAAGTCACGCAGTTATTAAGTACCAGAAACCTCATATGAATTCAGCTCCTTTAACTCTGAGTCCAATTCTCTTTAATAATCTTCTGGCTATTTATAAGAAGGTATATTATCTGAAACAGGGCTCATCACAGTGGTGAAACATACATGACAATGTCAAAAACTCTAAAGACACAGTATTAGTGAGGGACCAAGGTGACAACATCTAAGTGTCTTGAGGCATTTGAACTGTCCCAAAGAATCTCTACTACTAGGCCCATCATACTATATTAGACATTTTGAGATCATATTAAACATGGAGTAAAATTCTCATTTAAAAGAATGTTTTAACACCAGATATATATATATATAGATATATATATATATAGATATCTATCTATCTATCTATCTATATATAGATAGATAGATAGATAGATATATTTGTTAGGGGAGTTAAAGATTGTTTTTTATTTTATTTTATTTTTTAATTTTTTTTCCCATATGCTTTTGAGTTGAAAACTTTTTTCTCCCTTTCCCCCCTCCCACCCTCCTCAAGACGGCGCACAATCTGACATAGGCTTTACATTTACATACCCATTAAACATATTTTCACATTAGTGAAGTTGTAAGTAAAAATTAAAACCAATAGGAGGAACCATCAGAAAGATGAAACAAAATTCAACTTAAGGTAAAATTAAGTGAGAGCATTCGACTTCCATAGTTCTCTCTTTGGATGTGGACAGCATTTTCCATCCCGAGGCCTCTGGAGATGTCTTAGATCCTCGTATGCTGAGAAGCATTCGGTTTAACATTCTTAGTTTTTGCATAACGTGGCTGCTATTGTATACAAAGTCCTCTGGGTTCTGCTCACTTCACTCAGCATCAGACCATATAAGTCTTCCAGGTTTTTCTGAAGTCAGCCTGTTCATCATTTCTTATAGAACAACAGTATTCCATTACATTCATATACCACAACTTGCTCAGCCATTCCCCAGTTGATGGGCATCCTCTCAATTTCCAATTCTTTGCCACCACAAAAAGAGCTGCTATGAATATTTTTGTACATGTGGGTCCTTTTCCCATTTGTTTGATCTCTTTGGGATATAGCCCTAGAAGTGCTATTGCTGGATCAAAGGACCAGATATATTTTTTAAGTACAGCTCAAGAATCACTTAATTTTTTAAAAGAAAAATACTGTATGTCAGTTAAATGCTCATCACCCTGATTCTCCCCACCTGTTACTCTCTTCTACCATTGGGCCATTATGCTATCATGCTGCCCTATAAAACAATAGGGAGTAGAAAACTTTCCCTTCCAACTTCTTTAATTCTCAGGCTTCATCCAGCATCTGCCTTGCTAGGTCAGAAAATTGCTCACCTAAGACCAGTAACCTTCAACCAATGCATTTTCCCAAGAGGATTTTGCGTCATTTTTTCAAACAGCTTCCAGAATAAGTTGGCTCATGAATGTGACCTCTACGCAGTGTGAGAATACAAGAGTAAGGAAGGAAAGACATTCTTCACTCCCCATTTAAAGCTATGGAAAGCATCCATCTAGGGATTTACTAAAAGCAGAGAATCAAGCACAGTATTCATATTATAACCTATTCTCCCTGCCCTGGCCTTTCAAGCAGGTTTTTGTGAAGGATATAACCTTTAATAGGCTGGGGACAAAAGCAGGGAATGGGTCCCACCTTTTCATGAATGGGTAGATTGTCTTTATACACAAAGCCTGCTTTGCACTATAGCTGATGATAAGAAAGCAACAGAGCCAACATTCTGGCTGCAACATAGGAAATAACTATCAGCACCAAGGAGACCTTTCTATCCTTATTTAGAAAAAAATAACTTACCTGCCTATATTTTAAAATGATCTTGGGTAAAGGATGAAGATCTTGCAAAGCATTTAACTAGAAAATAGAAATAAATATTAACAATTCCTTCAATTCAATAAACATTTGTTAAGCATCTATTACATGTGAATCACTGTGTTAAAAACTTGGAATAAAAATGAAAAATAACATCATCTCCTCTCCTCAAGGATCAAATAAGAAGTCCAGACAAAATGTACTAGGAAAATATGAGAGGAAGAGATCACTATTTAATTGGGAGAATCACAGAAGGTTCTACAGAGGACTTACTCTGTGAGCCAGATTATAAAAGAAGGGGATTTCCAATATTGGGGATGAAAGGAGAGTACCCCCCAGGCATAACAGGGGAACCATCAGTGTCAATGCAGTCGCAAGAGAATGAGTTCAGCATTTAAACTATTAATTTATAGTTGAACAAAACTTAAGAGTAGATATTTAGTTTACAATATTTTCCAAGAATGCAGTTTTGTAATAACTCACTTCCCTGTCCTGTTTCTAATCACTCCTTCCTTCTAAAAGCATTTTAGTGCTCCAGCCAAACTGGTCTACTCTGTTCTGAGAACACATACTCCACTTTCCTATCTTTATGTTTTTGTTTATACTTTGTCTTATTGCTCTCACTAAACACAACCCCTCCCTCAACTCCAACCGTTGAAATTCTACCAATTCTTCAGGATGTGGCTGAAACACAACTTTGTCCAGGAAGCTTTCCCTGATCCTGCTCCTCAGACCTCAAATAAGACTTTGTTTATACCTTTATTATGTACTTTTCAGGTTCTATTTTATTTTATAGTTATTTATGTGCATGTCATATATTGTTCTCATCACCACCACAAGACTGCTTGTTCCTTAAAGGTAGTAGCATTCTCTAATTTACTTTTCATTTCCCTTCCAATTCTCTTTTTAATTTTTTTAGAATGTTTTATTTTATTTTTTCTTAATCACATGTAAAATTAATTTTAACATTCATTTTTAAAATAATTTTTGGATTCCAAATTTCCTTCCTCCTTTACCTCCCCATTCCTTGAAAAGGCAAACACTTTGATATGGATTTTACATGTGTAGTCATGCAAACCATATTTCCATATTAGCCATGTTACAAAAGAGAACACAAACCAAAAAATAAATAAATAAAAATAAAGAAAGTTTAAAAAGTATGCATCGATCTTCATTCAGACTTCATCAGTTCTTTCTCTGGAGGTGGATAGCAATTTTCATCATAAGTCCTTCAGAATTGTCATGGATTGTTGTATTGCTGAGAATAGCTAAGTCATTCACAGTTGATCATTGTACAATATTGCTGTTACTGTGTACAATGATCTCCTGGCTCTGTTAACTTTACTTTGTATCAGTTATACATCTTCCCAAGTTTTTCTGAAAGCATCCTGCTTGTCATTTCTTACAGCACAACAGTATTCCACCACAATTATATACCACCACTTGTTGAGCCATTCCCCAACTGATAAGCATCCCCTCAATTTCTAATTCTTTGATATCACAAAAAAGTTGCTATAAATATTTTTGTACATATAAGACCTTTTCCTTTTTCTTTGATCTCTTTGGGGTACAGACCTAGTAGTTGTATAGTTGGGTCAAAAGAGCATGCACAGTTTTATAGACTTTGGGGCATAACTCCAAATTACTCTCCATAATGTTTGGATCAGTTCACCCACTCCACTAATAGGGAATTAGTGTCTCAATTTTTCTACATCTCCTCCAACATGTCATTTTTCTTTTCTGTCATATTAGCCAATCTGATAGGTATGAGGTGGTAGCTCAGAGTTGTTTTAATTTTCATTTCTCTAATCTATAGTGATTTTGAGCATTTTTTCCTATAACTATAAATAGTTTTGTTTTCTTCTTCTGAAAATGGCCTGTTTATATCCTTTGATCATTTATCAATTGGGGAATGACTCATATTCTCATAAATTTCACTCAGTTCCCTATATATTTGAGAACTGAGGCTTTTATCAGAAAAACTTGCTGCAAAAAATTTCCCCCAGTTTCCTGCTTTCCTTCTAATCTTACCTACATTGGGTTTTTTTGTGCAAAACCTTTTTAATTTAATGTGATCAAAATTATCTATTTTATATTCTTTAATGCTCTCTATCTCTTGTTTGATAATAATTTTTTTCCTTGTTTATTTGTCAGATCTATGGAAAAGGGAAGAATTTAGGACCAAAGAACATATAGAGAGCATTACAAAATATAAAATAATTTTGATAATATTAAAAAAAATTTTGCACAAACAAAACCAATACAATCAAAATTAAAAGGAAAACAAAAACCTAGGAAAAAATCTTTACAGCAAGTATCTCTGATAAAGGCTTAATTTCTCAAATACAGAGAATTTCATCAAATTTATAAAAATACAAGTCTTTCCCAAATTCATATCCAAGTTATCTACAGTCATATGAAAAAATGCTCTAAATCATTATTGAATAGAGAAATGCAAATTAAAACAACTCTGAGGCACTACCTCACACTATCAGATTAGCTAAGATGACAAAAAAGTTATAGATGGTGGAGGGGATGTGAGAAAACTGGAACACTAATGCAGTGTTGGTGGAGCTATGAACTGATCCAACCATTATGGAGAGCAATCTGGAACTGTGCCCAAAGGGCTGGAAAACTGTGCATACCCTTTGATGCAGCAATACCACTGCTAGGTATATATCCCAAAGACACAAAAAAAGGGAAAAGGACCTAACTGTACAAAAATGTTTATAGCAGTGACTGTTGTGGTGGCTAAGAATTGGAAATTGCTGCCTATTGGAAAGGGATGCCTATCAACTGGGGAACGGCTAAACAAGCTGTAGTATAAGATTACGATTGAAAACATTGTGCTATAAGAACTGACAAGCAGGATAATTTCAGAAAAACCCAGAAAGACTTACATGAACTGATGCAAAGTGAAATGAACAGAACCAGGAGAACACAGTAACGGCAATACCATAAGACGAAAACTGTGAATGACTTAGCTGTTCTCACCAAAGAAATAATCTAGGCCAATCCCAAAAGACTAATGATGAAGCATACCATCTACCTCCAGAGAAAGTACTAATATTGTTTGAATACAGACTAAAGTATGGTTATTTTTCACTTTCATTCTTTTTCTTTTAGTCTAGGCTTCTTGTACAAAATGACTAATATGGAAATGTTTTAAATGAATGCATATATATAACTTATATCTGTCTGCTTACTATCTCAGTGAAGGGGAGAAGAGAGAGGGTAGAATTTGGAACTCAATCTTTAAAAAAAACAAATGTTTAAAAATTGTTTTAACATGTAATTGGGGAAAATATATTAAATTAATGCGAAAAAAGAGTAGAGACTATAAAAACAACTTGATCATTGAATATAACAACTTTAGCTGATGTGGGATATATTGTCCAGCTAAAGAATTAGTCATAAAAATGTATTTAAATAAATTATTCTCTTATCCATAGGCCTGACAGGTAAAGTATTCCATGTTCCCCTAATTTGCTTTGTAATTATGTTTATATAATTCCTGATTTTGTCTTGGCAGGTAGACTCCCAAGTATTTTATATTGTCTGCAGTTATTTTAAAATGGAATTTCTCTATCTATCTCTTGCTGCTGGACTTTGGTACTAATATACAAAAATGCTAATAATTTATGTGGATTTATTTTTATTCTGCAACTTTGCTGAAGGTGTTAATTATAGCAACTAGTTTTTTAATTGATTTTCTAGGATTCCTTAAATACACCATCATATCACTTGCAAAGAGTGAGACAGTTTTGTTTCCTCATTACCTTTTCTAATTCCTTCAATTGTTTTTTCTTCTCTTATTGCTATAGCTAGCATTTCTAGTACAATACTGAACAATAGTGGTGATAATGGATATCCTTACATCATCTCTGATCTTACTAGGAAGGCTTCTGGCTTATCCCCCATTACAGATAATGTTTGCTGAAGGTTTTGGATAGATACTACTTATCATTTTAAGGGAAGCTCCATTTATTTCTTTCCTTTCTAGTGTTTTTAATAGGAATAGATGTATTTTGTCAAAAGATTTTTCTGCTTCTACTGAGATAATCATATGATTTTTATTGGTGTTGCTATTGATATGGTCAATTATGCTAATAGTTTTCCTAATATTGAAGTGGCCCTTCATTCCTGGCATAAATCCCATCTGGTCACAGTGTATGAACCTTGTGATATATTGCTGTAATCTCCTTGCCAGGTTGTAATTTTAAAATTTTGCATCAATATTCATTAGGGAAATTGGTCTACAATTTTCTTTCTCTGTTTTTGCTCTCCCTGGTTTAGGTATCAGCACCATATTTATGTTGTAAAAGGAATTTGGTAGGATTCCCTCTTTGCCTATTTTTCCAAATAGTTTACAGACTATTGGAATTAATTATTCTCTAAATGTTTGGTAGAATTCATTTATGAATCCTGGCCCTGGGAATTTTTTCCTTAGGAGCTCATTGATGGTTTGATCAATTTCTTTTTATAAGATGAGGTTATTTAAGTCTATTTCCTCTTCGGTTAATCTGGGCGATTTGTATTTTTATAAATATTCATTCACTTCACTTAGGTTGTTAGATTTATTGGCATATAATTTGGCAAAATAGCTCCTAAAAATTGCTTTAATTTTATCTTCATTGATGGTGAATACACTCCTTTAATTTTTGACACTGGTAATTTGGTTTTCTTCTTCCTTTTTAAAAATCAAATTAACTAATGTTTTATCTATTATATTGGGGTTTTTTTCCCCTAAAACCAGCTCCTAGTTTTCTTTATTAGTTCAATGGTTTCCTTACTTTCAATTTTATTAATCTCTCCTTTGATTTTCAAGATTTTCAATTTGGTATTTAATTGGGGATTTTTAATTTGTTCTTTTTCTAGTGTTTTTTTTTAGTTGCATGACCAACTTATTGATCTATTCTTTATTTTACTGATGTAAACTTTTAGAGACATACATTTCCCCTAAGTACTGCTTTCACTGCATCCCCTTTCAATTCTCAATTAGAAGTAAGGCTTAAAATGCAAATAATCAACTTTCAATTAAG